GCTTGGCATTATCGTTGAACACGTCTGTGGCTTGCTTCAGTAGACCGTTCCGTCATGTACATAACTCAACTTGGACAGTAAATTGGAATTCGGCTTATGAAACGTCCCTCCCGAACGTGCATCATGACGGTGATGGGTGACCCGGGCCTCTCTGTCCAGACCAGGAGCACCGGTGACTGTCTCCACCCGCATGACGGCCCCACTGGACAGTCACGCTATCCGTGCTTGGATTAATGGAGCGTCGTAGCCTGATTTGAGCCGGAAGCAATCGACAGACAACTGTCGAAATGGTGAGCAAGTCTTGACCTGTACCTGGCTAACGTGATACGCAAAATGGTGAGCAAGCCCTGACCTGTATCTGACTAACTTGATACGCAAAAATAGAGGCGAAGGGGGGGGGGGAGTATTGTACTATGTACCACTTCCTCCCAAAGCAGTGTGTAGGTTAAAAAGTCCACACAAAACACTGACATGTGAATAACAACCAGGTCTAAAAAGGACCTTGCATCATTACATTTAGTTAGCAGGGGAATCTCATTCCCTCCAGGTGAAATTCTGCTGGGTTCTGGCATCATGTGATGTTAAAAACGCAATGAAGGATGATGTGCGTGGGACGAATCCCGGCTTTCAGAGAAGAGAGTATGGGGACTACGGACTAATTTTACATATGTACATGCCTTATAAAGACTATCAGTAATCATGACATTCTGGATGCCCAAATTTCGAACCTTTTTGCGAATTCCTAAATGACCTACACCTGCAGCATTCCTATGCATTGGTTTCAAATTTATAGGATGTATTTCGAGGTTTATCCCCGAGGATTGCAAAGGATAGAAAAGCCAAGGCAATTTATTCCCACCCGATTTCGAGAAAGCCTTCGATTAGATCTAACATTCCACGTGGGAATTGAATCCAGGTGAAAAGCCATCTACAAATACCGGCTCCGAGCTCACCTCCAACCAGCATTACGACCACGCTGAAGATTTTCTCGCTGTTGGTGTTGGCGGACACGTTTCCGAAGCCCACGCTGGTGAGGCTGGTGCAGGTGAAGTAAAGGGCCGTGATGTAGGACATCTCGGACGTGACGTTGTCCACGGACAGGTGCAGCCGCTCTGCCAGTTGTGGTATCCAGCCTGGGGGCGGCCGCACGCACGATCAGGAGCGGGATCCAGCCTGAGGGCGGCCGCACGGTCAGGCGCGGGATCCAGCCTGGGGAATGCCTCGCCGTCAGGCGCGGGACCCAGCCTGAGGAAGGCTCTGCGGTGATGAGTGGGATCCAGCCTGGGGAAGGCCTTGCGGTGATGTATGGGCCCCAGCCCGGGGAAGCCCTCGCGGTGATGCGCGGGATCCAGCCTGGGGAAGGCCCCGCGGTGATGCGTGGGATCCAGCCTGGGGACGACATCACGGCCAGGCGCAGGATCCAGCCTGAGGTCTGCTGCAGGGCCATACATAACCACTGTCAGCCGCAGTAACTCCAGTCTGGGGACAGCTGCAGCCTTCGGCGCCTCTGCCGTCAGCCGCAGTATTTCCAGACTGAGAACAGCTGCAGGCTCCGTCTCCGCCGTCAGCCGCAGTATCTCCAGACTGGGGACAGCTGCAGGCGCCCCGGCTTCTCCGCCGTCAGCCGCAGTATCTTCAGACTGGGGACAGCTGCAGGCTCCGGCGTCTCCGCCGTCAGCCAGAGACGGTCGGGGGCATCTCGTCGGTGCGGAGAGACGCTCGCGTGACGTCACTGCCGTGCACAGGCGAACTAATAGTCGGTGGCGCGAGCCGGCCGCCCGCCGCCCGGCCCCTAATGGGAAAACTTTGTCCGCTTTCAGTTGGCCCTGCACGGCTGCATGCGACAATCTGGCCTGGGTTGGCTCTGAACTCTCGCTGGCAGCCGAGGGCGCTGGCGCCAGGTTGGTCACTGCAGAGGAGGGAGTGCCGGCCCTCCGCTCGCTGACGTGCTGCCGTTCAGACAGCATTGGCGCCGCGCCGCCGTGCTGGAGGGGGTGATAAAATGGCGACTTGTTTGCGCTACACTTCCATTATGGACGCAGAGCCTCCAGATGTGTGTTACTCTTTAGACTCGCCAGTACGGGTCAGAAAGGGATGTCGAAGGCAGCCCGTGCCTGCCAAGGACAATTTTCGGGGACATAAATGGAACAGCCGGGCTGTTACACAGCTCCGGCCTTCGCCGTCTGCCGTGGCGCGTGGTCTGCCGCAGGCCGGCACGACCTGCGGGAAAAACCGGCGCTGGCCGACCCCAGCCTGGTCAACGTTCCTGGAGTTTCACAGGCACACTGATGCGCGACTGGGCATCGAGACTAAAAATATGGCGCGGAGATGGGTCGCTCGGGCTGTAAAGCACGGGCACGGCACTGCACGGCACGGCACGGCACGGCCACGGCACGGCACGGCACGGCACGGCACGGCACGGCACGGCACGACTCGGCACGGCACGGCACGGCACGGCACGGCACGGCACGGCACGGCACGGCACGGCACGGCACGACGCGACACGGCACGACTTTGGAATGGCACGGCACGGCACGGCACGGCGTGGCTCTGGGACGGAAGCGGTCACCACGTTCGGCACGACACAACCCGGCCCGGCACGGCTCTGGGACGGAAGCGGTTACCACGTTCGGCGTTGTAGTTAACCCAATAGACGTTTATAGAAATACAAATCCCACTAAGTGGAAGCTTGGACCTAAAACGATGACCAGTCGGCCTACTCTCGTCCATTATTGCCTAAAGTTTCCAGCGATATTCCGCTTCGTCATTGCCTGAAATTTCCAGTAATATTCTGGTCCGTCACTGCCTGACGTTTCCAGTGGTATTCCGGTCCATTATTGTCTGAAGTTTTCAGTGATATTCGGGTTGCCATCGCATTGCATATTATAAATGACATTGCGATTTGTGGCAAGCCTCTGACCGCAGGGAATATCATAGCGAAATCACGGATTCATTTCACAGATTGAATACCTCAATGTCTTATACATAAACACATGGCTGGACTGACCTTTTTCAGACGGTTTGAGGATCAACGTTTTAGGACTGGTTTGATTTGAACTAAGAATCAACTCAAAGCGAATTGGAGTGGCCTGATGCCTTGCATAGGGATTGGATCACGAACACATTGGATCACGCCTGCTACACTTGAAGTTCTTGTATCACTAAATTGAGATTGCCTCGGCTACTACATCAGAGTTCTTTTGGAATTTGGGAGAGGGGTTAGGTAGATGTGGGATAGAGACAGGTTTAAGGAGTGTGAAAGGGATCAGACATAGCTGAGCGAGTTGGATTTGGCTGGCTCTGAAGATTCAGTCAATGACAATATCTAGCAGCGCAAGCAAGCTGAAACACCGTCATGATAGCCATCGTTGGTTTTGATGGCAAGCAATATGTTTGATTATTCCATTTTGGCTTAACTCCGTCGGACGTTGTCCGAGCCAGAGCCCCACACGGGTTCCTTGGCAGCACGTCGAAAGGCGACAAACCACGGGACACTCTCAGATGGCAGTAAGTCAAACGGAATACGATTCAAAAAGTGATGAAACTTAAATGGATAAAGTATTCAACAGCAACAAAGTGAAAAATGTAAGTCAAAACGACAGGAGTCGAATGGAACGAGGCCAAAACGCAAAAATCAAAAGAAATCAAGTCAAATACACAAAAGCACCCCAGCGTGCCAATCAGCACATTCATTCTCTGGACAAAGCCGTGCGCTTCCAATGTTTCACAATACCGCAAGGACCCCTGATCAATTGCTCGTCCCGGAGGGTAGGGGCTAAGGGGGAGGATAAAGTCCAAACACCGTTTAGTCAGTGGAGCGCAACCAATAGACAGCCTCGTGAATGTGCGGAATGCAGAGAGGTGCAGGGTTTGGAGTGGAAGGGCTTCCATGCGGTGTTAGCTGCATTGACGCGTAAATATTGTCCGTCACATGATGCCTTTTAACTCTCTGTTTTAGGCGCCTTCCGGCTCAGAACGTCATGGTCCATAAAAGACTGCCTATCATTTGTTACTGTATTTTATATCAACGCACTCTCAGGCAGGGGTCAATTTGACCGCCCGAAGGCTATCCGGAACGGTTTCCGAACGGCACGGCGTAGCTGAGCCAAGTTTTGCAAATCTGTAGACAGTTGAATAGCGCATCGTTTGAAATCAACATTTCAGATGTGCCCTATCAGGTCGCTGACCTACAACAGGTCACAGTCAGGCCATGGATTCAGCGAAGACGATTTCTAGGGAAGCGTTCAATCTGACACCACAACGGAATGTTAGACGAAGCCACATATTTCTGAGATACTTTCTCAGGCAATGCAACAATTAGTGAACAAATTCCATTAACCTAGGGTTGGGTGTGAAAGTCAGACCAAGGTCAAACCAACTCGTTTTATTTCTTTAGGGCTTGCTGTATGGGGCAGCTTCTGGTGCTCACTTTGAATACATTAATAACAGGAGCCACATTATATATCTTCTATGGATTGCTTAATTGCTTGCTAATTGCTAATTGCTTCTATGCAAGTAACTGACCTAAAACAACCCATGTCAACATTTTGTTTTAGGAACATGGTGTCTAGCGTAATCCTTGTGGCTTATTCAAATGCAAAACTCAAAGCAGTCTTGCATGATTTTAATCACCATGACCTTCTTACCCAAGTTAGTTCACGTACAGACCTACACACCCTATGAATTTAGTGTCTCTAGCTCTCTTAGTTTCTCAGATCTTAGGGGGTCAAACTGACCCACACCTGAGCGAAGGGTATATAGCCGGCCACCCGTGCGCGTGTTAGGACAGTACAGTGCTTGTGTAATGCAAGGCATGGCAAGCACTAAAAAGGAATTATGATAACCTCCCTACAATAATTACATACGTGAAAGTCGCTAAGAGGGTCGTATTTTCTAATGAATTTTCTTTCACGGATCTTACTCCCAGAATGGAACAGTTCAAATACAAAACGAACACTGGACGTTAGCCATTGTTGACAGCGGTTTTCCCCAGCATACACCTAGTCAAATGGCGCCTATTCCCGACATTTCGGGCACTTTGACTGAAAAACCGACAAAGAACCTTTCAGGGACCTTCTAAGTAAACGGAGTCTGTTCACAGATGGGAGGAGGTGGCGGCTCCTGGATGTGACCTTTTGAAGGGCATTTTGAGTTTGGACGAAAGGAGGGCAAATAAGCCCCATAGCAACCTATTCATACTCCTCCAAACTGTATCTGGCGAGTTTCCCTAGTTTGAAGAAACTGAAGCTTACCTTTCTTTCAGTGATTTGGCGGTCTGGGGAGGCAAATGAGACCCCATTTTTGGAGGTCACGGAGGGCGGTGCGAGCACCAATATGAACCATCTTAGGCCAAGTATATCTACTCACGTTCTTAAGGCTTACATTCCAATGCATACTTTTGGTACTTAGGTTGAGTCGTGATTTTTTAAAATAAATACCGTCCGGTGAGCTATCTGCTGTAAAACAGCTCATAATTTGGATCACCAAGAACGAAGGTTCTTTGAAATCAGTTACGTGGTGTTTCATTGACTCTGTAAATAGACAATTTAGGGGCGACGTTTCTTTCCAAGTAGCGACCCGGATGCTCCACGTATATGCTCATCCCCGGCCTCGTCTCTGGAAGAGGAATGAGCCTAGGCTGGCTCAGACCCTGGCTCTAGTGCGTCCGCCGTACATCACGCAAAAGTAGATAAACATGAAACGAAAAGCACAGCATAGCGGCTACTTGCCTACATGACAAACTTAAGCTACTTTATCACAAAAAATACGGCGTAGGTCTGTCCAATAGCCACTATTTCGGGACACAAGCCTGAGTGCTCCCAGTTCGAGTATACGCCACGCGGTCATTTCATTTACTCAGGGAATTTAAGAAATGGATAAAGCCTGCGCAAGTTAGCGCGGCTCAAAGATGATCTATCACGGCTACATGTCTTGACGGAAGTGGAGTGACCACAACCCCAGATGTGAAGTAGGGGCCATCCAATCCAGTGAAGGGCTTCTTTATCCCAACCAGAGCCTTCTGATCCCTAACAGGAGCCTTCTGGAACCGGATGTTACGTGATAAAGGGACCTCCTGATTCTTAACAAGGGCCTCCTGATTTATGGAGGCCGTTTCCTTACACGGAAAAGCGGC